GACCACACCGGGCATACCTGCATTGCCATGAAGTTGGCTTTGATCCTGTGTAGTTGTTGATTGTCCAAAGGAAACCGGATAAACTGTTGGATGATATGTGGTCTAGAGAGCGCGTTGATGGTTTGGTTTATGGCACAGCTGACTGATGGTTGCGATATTCCTAAATCGTCGGCATTGCAAAGTTGCATTTTCCCTGTTGCTAAATATCGTAGTGTTGCCAAACATTTTATTTCCGGACTAATCGGGTTATTGCATCCCGCACTAATTCCACAACAAGTTTGATACCCTCACGATTTAGCCTATATCTCTTGATCAATTCACAGTCTTCCATTGTCTCCAAAACATTTCGTCTCTCAGCCATTTTCAGATTCTTTGTGAATAGGTCTTACTGAGTTAGGAGTCCTCTCGAGGACTTTTAAGCTCTCCCAGACTTAGGTGCTACTTTTAGGCCTAAAATACTTTGTGAATTGCTCTTAGTGAATAAAATTAGGAGTCCTAAATTTAAGACTGACACGCCCATTATGCTTAGGAGTTTCTTCTAAATTCGCCAGTTAGGAGCTACTTTTAGCCCGAAAATCCTTTGTGAATACGGCCCCAGACCTTTAAATCTTTCACCAATAAAAGGCTGTTCATATATACAAATGTGATGTTTAATGTAAAATACATGTTTAATGTATGTATGTATATATATTCATACTTTCTTTTATACTTTCTTTCAGCGTTGTTTACTCTACATGGCAGTCAGTATAGTACTTCTTCACATTTAAGACTTGTAATGAAGACATTTAAAAAAATGGTATGATGACTTTCTTTGACATCTCAAAATTATTTTCACCAGCTGTCAGACCAAACAAGACCAAAAATGTGTATTTTAACAGCTACTAATACCTGTTTTGGTAACAATGCCACTATGTATGCTTTGCTGTGTACAAGTACAAATTGGATAGATTTAATAACCATGTATAGGATAATGGTATCAATTTATTATAGAAAACTATATGCATTCAGATTTACTTTTGTTCTTTCTGTGCAATATCCAATTACAAATCCTTGTAGGTCTGCAATTACATTTATGAGATGCATTTAAATATATTATCGCTATACCTTTAAGTGTTTGCAAAGTGCTCACTTCATCAACAAACCTCCATACCTTACATAAAAACACAGCTCAATATATTTGTTATTGTCCCTCTTTTCTACTGTATTGTAGGTGTCTGGTATTTTCATGAAATATAACAAGTTTAAAATGTAATTTTATTTTGTAACATGTCTGGGTAAAGATTTTGCTAAAAAAAAACATCAGCCCTTCCAGATCAATCACAACAAAACTACCATAGTGTTTATAAAAAGATAGGAAGAACAATGTAAATTGTTTTTAAAACAATAAAACCTGATTTATTGTCAAACCAGGACATTTAAAGAGCCTGTGACAGCCTCCCAACAACTGTTGTGTAATGAAACATTGGGCTACTAGTAATCTCGAACCGTCAGCTTAAAAAAGAAGGTCCGCATTTCCTGATGAAAAAACAAACCGATGCTTTTTGTAGTTGTAGTACACCAACATGGATTAAACGTGTGTTTTTTTTACCACAATGTTGGGGAAATTAATGGATAAAATGCACGGATTATGATTATTATTATTATTATTACGACTCCGATCGGGACACTAGGTCCACCGTTTCCCCGCAGCGAGGCTCCCCCCGTTGACAGTTTACGTGGGCTGGGCTGGGCGCAGTGACGGATTGGCCATCGGGACGAATCCCGATGGGCCGGTACCGAAGTGGGCCGGTCGGATAAGTCACTAGCACATCCCCCACTCCCCCCGTTGACAATTTACTAGTGGTACCGAAGTGGGCCGGTCGAGAATCTCGGGCTGATTTTTAGTCCCAGTCCACCACTGGCTACATGACCGTATGATCGCCCATATTGACGCACCTAATTCCTAAACTTCTAACAGATACAAAATAAACCGATCCTTCAGCCTCATATGAGCTCTCAGACACGTTCAAAATTAAACTCTCATCGCTGTCTGAGCTTGCTGCTGTGTGCGCCATCGTGCGTTTACATGCAGATGCTGGGATCCTGAACGGTGCAGCTGGAG